CTCCTCCTCCTCCTCCTCCTCCTCCCCCTCCCCATCTTCCTCCTCCTTATCAACCAGCCCTCTACATAACCGCTCTCTCTCTATCTTCCTTGCTCAGGTTTCTTCGTCGTCCTCATGTGCTGCTGCGTGACGATGCTAACCGCCATCTCGATGAGCGCGATCGCCACGAACGGCGTCGTTCCCGGCGGCGGCTCCTACTTCATGATCTCGCGCTCGCTCGGACCCGAGTTCGGAGGAGCCGTCGGCCTCCTCTTCTACCTCGGCACCTCCTTCGCGTCGGCGATGTACATCATCGGCGCCGTCGAGATCCTGCTGACCTACCTCGCGCCGCAGCTGTCGCTGTTCGGCGACGTCACGAACGACCCGGCGGGCATGTTCAACAACTTCCGCGTGTACGGAACCGCGGTGCTGCTCCTCCTCGCCGCGATCGTGTTCGTCGGCGTGCGCTTCGTGAACAAGTTCGCCGCCGTGTCGTTGTTCTGCGTGATTCTCTCGATCCTGTCGATCTACGTCGGCGCGTTCGTGAAGGCCGCGGGCGGCGACACGTCGGCGCAGCCGTGCGCGCTCGGCGATCGCGTGCTGAAGAGCGACTATGCGGGCGAGTGCGGGAAGTGGGACGGGAACGGCAGCGCGTCGACGCAGTGGGCGTACTACTGCGCCGCCGCCGCCGCCGCGGCAACGGACGAGGGCAACGGGACCGGCGGATACGCGGAGTGCACGCCGTACTTCCAGCAGAACGAGTTCGGAACGATACAAGGTGAGCGGCGGGGGGCCGGGGTTGCGGCGGGAGTGTTGGCATGGGGCCGGGGGCTTACTAGTGGATAAGCGGGTTATGTTGAAGTCTATGTGTGGGTAGGACGCATAAGTCTAGGTATGGGTGGTTGGTGGTGGCAGTCTCTTTGGGGGATGGGCTGCAGCAGTCTAGGTGTGGGAGCTTGGCAGCAGTCTAGGTGTGGGAGCTTGGCAGCAGTCTAGGTGTGGGAGCTTGGCAGCAGTCTAGGTGTGTTGTAAAAATTTTCATTTCGTCATTTTGTAAAAATTTCTCTGCCATTAAAATAACATTTAGTCTAACATTCAATTCGTCATTTTGTAAAAATTTTCGAAGTAAAATAAGTTTATAATAAATAAAATAAAATCTCATGAAATCCGATCGACCTTTCAAGGTCGCCACCTTCATCAACTCGCTCGCAAACTACAGCAACGTCATACCGGAGGTGAAGGACGGAGAGAGGGCGCCACCGCCGGCGGCGGGCGGCGCGCGCATGGGAACGCTTGTCGGAGTCTTCCTGCCTTGCATCCAGAACATATTCGGAGTGATCCTGTTCCTCCGGATGACGTGGCTGGTGGGAGCGGCCGGAATCCTGGAAGGTGAGCATTCCCGTGCATGTGTAACGCAGCTCGGTCTCTTTACGTAGGCGTTAGTATGGATCTACTATCGTTCTGAGGCTAAGTGTAGGAGTAGGAAAGGGGATATGATACAAACAATGGGATGGAAACAATACGTATGTGAGTAACATACCACACGGACGTTTATTCTCAGCCGTAATAACGGTTATACAAGTTGACTGGCTAGGATATGAATAGAGGCAAGGGACAGGCTTAGGGACAGCCAAGCTCTGTCCGAGTACGATAGGGTCGTCTTCTTATAAGCCTGTCAGGAACCACGGTAATTGGGATCATAGAAGCGCGACACAGTGACACGTTTCTCACGGTCAGTGACTTCGTGACAGGTGTCTTTTTATTATTTTTCCTCGTATCGTGTCACACGTTTTGCGAGCTTCATTATCCCGACAGGTCGGCTCCAACGTAGACTCGGTTTACCTGTCGTAAACACTGCTTTTCTCTTACTTTACTCGCTACACATGCGACCGGGAAGAGGGAAGGGTTCCTGCAGGACCGGAAAGACGGGAAGGGTTATTGCAAATCCGGGAAGCGGGAAGAGTACCTGCATGACCGGGAAGAGGGGAAGGGTTACCACAAATCCGGGAAGAGGGAAAGGGTTCCTGCATGACCGGGAAGAGGGAAAGGGTTCCTGCATGGCCGGGAAGAGGGGAAGGGTTCCTTCACGACCGGGAAGACAGGAAGGGTTCCTGCAAATCCGGGAAGAGGGAAAGGGTTCCTGCATGACCGGGAAGAGGGAAAGGGTTCCTGCATGGCCGGGAAGAGGGGAAGGGTTCCTTCACGACCGGGAAGACAGGAAGGGTTCCTGAAA